GTGGCCAGCCCAGCCCTAAACCATGACATCTGGAAACCCAGCTGGGAACATCTGCTCTCCTTTCCCTGGGTGCCTTTTACCCTGGCTTTCAAGCCATGCTATGAATTCTTCTGGGGAGGATCTCTGCTTTGCTCTGTCTTTGCAAACTCTTACACAGTGACAGCAAAGTCAGGAGGACTCCTTTATTTTTGCAGTATGCCTGGCTTTGCATCAGCTGGGCTGTCCCCAGCCTCCAACAGACACAGAGAGCATAAGCACTGCCCCTCATTGTCAAAAGGAATAAACCCCAAAACAAGCAGCTCTGTTGGGTGAAGGACAATCAAAGCCTACAGACATCACCCACAGGGGCTCCTGGGAAGGGGAGATCAGCCCTCCCTGGACAAGCAGGACCTCCCGCCATGCCCGGCATCTCCCCGGCAGGCAGGAGCTCACCTCCAGCTGCTGGGGCGAGGCAGCAGGGATGGGGATCAGCTCCTCCAGATGCCCGGGCTCCCTCAGCGTGTAGATCTGCTCATTCCCTTCCAGGATGGCTTCTTCCCGGAGGTTGATCCAAACGATGCGGGAGTGCTTCCTCTTGGCATCCATCAGGTACCGCAGGACGCTGCCCAGAGTCTAGGGGAAGGGGTGGGCAAGGGTGACGGGAGGGCTGGGAGCCCATTGCGGGCAACCCTGCCCACCACAGGGTGTGTGTGCCCCTCACCTTGGAGCTGGGCTGCGCCGTCCCGTAGATGGGCATCTTGGGCACCCGTCGGAAGTTGGCCACGCTTATCTCCTTGGCGGTGCTCAGCACATCCGGGCAGAAGCGCTCATCCGCCACCTGCAGCGGAGCAAAGGCTGGGCAAGTGGTGCACCCTCCAGCACTGCAGCTGCCCCCTCGCACCCACAGGTTTGCAGAGGAGTTCCCAGCACACCACCACCTCTCACTCATGGTCCCACTCAGGAGAAATCCCCAAACCCTTCCAACACCAGCAAATCGGGGCTCAAAGCCACAGGGCTGCATTTCAAAGGTGGAAGATGCTCTTCTTGCAGTGACACTATGCCAAAGAAGCAGCAAGCCACCAACAGCTCTGGCCTCCTTCACCTCACCACAGCCAAAGACCACCAAGAAACATGAAGCTGCAGCTAGGCTAGCAGCTCAGGCTCGCATCATAGGGTGCTCCAGCATCCTGGTACCCAGGGTCTGCAGGGTCACATACATCCGTACACACAGAAGCTCTCTGACCAGGTGGCTATCCTTGCCAAGAATGCAGACAGGACACAGAGTTCAGACCCCCAGCATGGACCTGGAAACCTCAACATGGACCTGGAGACCCCAAGACTCAGCACCTGCCTTACAACAGGGAAACCCTTTGCTTCTCCCACCCCACAGAACTCCTTTGAGGGTGAGCATCCCAGGAAGGTGCCATTCCCAGGGGATGACAAGGAGCCGCCAGCCACATCCCTACATCCAGGACAGGCACTCACCAGCACTCGTGTCCCCTTGGTGATGAGGTCCCCAGTGACGGTGAGCTCTGAGGAGTTCATCTCTGCCTGCAGCCGGTAGAGCTCAGGGTGCCGACACATCCACCTGCTGAAGCTGAGGGCAAAGCCCAGGGGGTACTGCCGGCGAGGGGCCGGAGGGAACGCGCCGTCAGCCTGGGCTCACCCCCTGCTCAGACACAACCCAGGATCCCACCGAAAAAACCTGGATTTGCTTGGGAAACTCAGAGGTGGAGACCCCTTCCCTCCCACTACATTGGGAAGCCAAAAAAAAAACCCCAAAAAACCAAAAGAGGGATCAAAAGAGGGAGTTTGGGGTCTGTGGTTTGTTGGTTTTTTTTTACCTGCTCATGAAGGTAATAATTGAAAGCAATCAAGTAGAAATAGCGTTCGAGGCTCTGCAAAGTCCTCTGGAGGAAATACTCTTTGGTGCTGCTCCCCTGAAAGCAAAGGTAGGTGGAATTCAGGATGCCCAAGGCCGCCAGTCCTGCAGCCCCAAGCAGACCAGGAGCCTGGGGAAAAAGCCCTACACATGTTTGTTTGCAGCATAAACGAGAGACAAGCAAGTAGCAAACAGGCCTAAGGCATGTCTTTTTGTAAACAGCAGATTTTGGGGGAAAGGGGGCAGGAAAGCCATTTAAGCTGCTCAGAAGGTTTTTTTGTGTATTCGTGCTAACTTCACCAAGCTGTTTGAAAAGAAACCACTGCCAAATGAGAAGGAGAACGGGCGGAACTACAAAATCCAATCTGGAAGAGGTTTTCGTGCCTTTTTTTTTTCTTTAAATGAAACATTTCAAGTTTTCCATATTAAATGATGCTTAAAGACATAATTTTGCATTTCAGCTCAAACAAAACCTTTCCTTCAGCCCAAGGACACACTGGGAGCAGGTCCAACCAGACCCAAAGGGTGTTGCTGTCCCAGGGGGAAACACTGTCCAGATGATAATGGGAGACTCAAACCCAAGGGGAGGGGGTTGGTTAATGCAGTCTTGCCCCTACTCCAGTCACCTCAGGGTGCAGCATCGCTGGGGTGAGAGGGCCCCTTGTCAGCGATGCCGTGGATGGGATGCGGGGAGCCTGCTGGAGACATTGCCTCCCCATCCCATGCTCTGGGTAACACAAGGAACAGACAGGGACCACTTGGGGACTCCCCTGTCTGCCACCAAAGCCCAGCAGGATGTCCAGAAGCTGCTCCAGAGTCAGCATCTCACAGGAGGTGGCAGACCCCAAAATGATGGGTGACATTAAATAAACTTAAATAAGAGCAAGACGAGCTTACTAAATAGAGACATAAGTCACACGCCCGGTAATATCCTCCATTTCCAAGTGTCTCTCCTTCCCCTCCATCCCCAGAAGCATCATGATGCCTATGTAGATGACTTCAAGCATGCTCTCCTCATCATCATCATCACCCAAACCAGGCACGTTCCCCAGTAGAGCTGTCTCCTCCCAGGGACACAAGCTCACTTTGGGATTCTCCATAATTTGGAAGCCACCCCCACGCTGCCTCAGGGCAGAGATTTGAGCATCCAAGCATGTCATCCAAAAAAAGTAACCCGCAATGCCAGCACTGGCAAGGGAGCACCCAGCACAGGGTCTGTGAGCATCCCCAGAGAGCCCGTCAGGACCCTCTCCCAAGGACATGATGAAAAATCCTATAAGATGAGGCCGTACATATATGGGGGCAGGCTTGGCAAGCAGAGTTTGCACATCTCTGACTCATGAATATTTACTTGTTCTCCACACGAGAAATCCATCCCGCTGTCATTTATCAAGAGGGAGAGCAAGGGGCTTTGCTCTGGAAACTCAAAACAAAGCCTGCGGGGACGGAGCCGTGTCGGGTTTGCCAGCGGCACTTCTCCCTGAGCGCTTGGGTTCCTGCAATAATAACCAGCCCTGCTCTCTCAGCCAGGGTAAATTTCTTAATATTGCCCATAAATAGGCTTTGGATGAAAAGGGGAATGATCTGCTCGTGTTTCAGCAGTGGAGAGCTGGGTACCGCAGGGTGCAGCTCGGCATCCCACGCTGGGATGCACCTACCCCTGCATCACCATTGCTTGAGGACTTAAATCTCCATTTTTACCCTCAACACAGAGCAGAAACCCACAGCCCAGCGTGAAATCATTCTTCCATGCCTAGAAAATCCCTTCCTCTCCCCAGAAATCAAGCCAGGCTCCGCCAGCTCACCCAGCAAAGCCCAGGCTGGTTTTACGATGGGTGAGCATCAGCCCCTCTCCACTCCTCATTCTCCCTCCCCAGCATTTTTCCTGGGCCCTTGCCATTGTTTAAACCTGCTCTCACTCCATGCAGACTTCAAATAAACACTTCTCGCCGATAATTTACGGCGGTCCCCACGGCCAGTTGTTTCCCTGGCGTTGAGGATGACACAGAGCAGCCTTCCTCAGCAGGGAGGAGTCGGGCAAAGGCTTTGAGGCAGTGGGAAAATCCCCTGCCCTGTGCCCAAACTTCCCTGCTACACAAGAGAGTATCTGCCATCACACCAGCAGCAGCAGACGTGCCTAAATCCACCCTAAAAAGGGGTTAAAACTGGTGGTCTGCCACTAAACTCCAAAAAAGCAACAGTAACTGCTTTCTTTTCCCATTGCCTAATCATTTTCATGGTGCTTTTCTGCTCCAGCCTGCTTGCTGTGGCCGCACACCGCCTGCTTTTTAGATGGTCCTCTATAGCTGGCCCCGGCACTTCCAACCCTCATTCAGCATGTAAATGGGAAGATTATCTCTGAAAAGGCTGGGATCAGGGCAGCATTTCCATTTGAGCATTCCCTCTCCATTCATCCATCCATCCCCTCCACCACCTAGCAAGGAGCTTCCCAGTCAGACAGGGGAGACCATGGCTTTCCAGCACAGAAAACCACCCTGATGGCTTTTCAAAGCAAAAGGAAAAACAAAACAACAAAAAAATCTACAGTCTCAAGCTTGACCTTGAATGACTGTATTTGCAGGAAAACCTCTAAGCAACAATCCCTCCCAGCTCCCAAGGACTTTTACCAGACAGGCTGGTATCATCTTTCCAATTCACAGCTGACAAAACCAGGGCGTGGGGTATTATTTGCCCCCAAGGTCATCTACCAGGAGAGGCAGCAAAGCCCAAAACGGCCAGCTTTCCCCCAAATCCCAGCCTGCTCCATTTTATGGCTCTTCAATAACTAGGGGCGGGGGGGGATGGGAACGAAAGAGAGCGAAGCACCACAACCTTCCAGGTTTCACGTCCCATTTCCAGCTCACAGGAAGCTTTGGATTTCCAGAATTTACATTCTTCTCATCCTCATGCAAAAACAGCTCGACAAATTACCCTGGGGAGAGCAGGCAGCTTGCAGCTGAGCAATTCTCTAACGACCATACCTGGATCTGATAGTCCTCCCCAATCCCTTCCAGTTTCTTCTTGTACTCATAGATGGCTTCCTTCATGTCGTGCATCTCTGAGCAGGAGGCAATGGCACCATCCACCTTGCGAGGAGCAAGTGAAAAGATGCCCAGATAAGCCCTGGATGGGGAAGGGGTGGGGGCAGGAGCCGATCTCATCCCCTTCCACCCACCCCGACAGAGGTTTTGCCAGCACCCCCTTACCTCCTCAACTATCTGCTGGCCTTTGGGGACCATCTCGATGAAGGCCTGAATGACCCGAAGCCTGTCCCTGGGAGATGTTTTAGGCAGGTGGGGGAGGCTAGGGTGGGAGAAGAGGGAGATCAAACCAGCCCTGGGAGCATGGGCATCCCCTCCACACCCCAGCCCCAGGGGGTGCCCCACTTACTCGAGCTTCTGGGTGGCTCCTCGGTGGTGATGGAAGATGAGTGTGCCCATGGCCATGGCCAGGTTGGTCCTGCCCACGCCAGTCTGGCAGCTGAAGAGCAGCGCCGGAGGGGGTCTGCCAGGGTCCCGCAGCAGCAGGCTGGGGCTCTCCTAGGAGGGAAGGGCAGAAGGATGGGACCACAGGAGCATCCAGGACAGCCAGCTCTGCCACTGCAATGGTCAGGGTGGAGGTGACAGCCCTGCCCAGGCACAGACGAGTGGTTGCATCTCCCCTTTGCTCAGGGAATGGCGCGGATAGACCAGGTCCATCCTCTGCATTTCGATGCCCTCCCCATCAGACACTGGCCTGTCCACCCCACCAGAGGTGTTCCCACCACCAGTCCCTAAGCTGCCAAGATGATGAAGACTCTCCAAAAAAAAAAAAAAAGAAGCCCTGCTATCAAAAGCCTTTGCATCAAAACCAGATAATTTCTCCCAAAGCCGTTAGGGAAGAGTCATCTATGCAGGGTGGAGGGTCACGTCCAGCCCAGCCAGGAGTAGGGACAAGCAGCTGGATCACATGGACTCCTCCAGCAGGGCCTACAGCAACCAGAATGGGATGCAACCACAGGCACAGGCATCCTCTAACGAGCAGCATCAAGCCAGAACCAGGAGAAGATGCTCTCAGGGAGTCACGCTCCCCAACATGGCATCCTTGCTCAGGTGCAGGAGCAAATCCCAACCCGATGTGGCCCTGCAGACTGGGAGCTCTCGCTCAGCTCACCCTGAGGAAGCAGATGAAAGCGTCGAACTGCTCCTCCAAAGGGGCTCCCTCGGCGGGCAAGGGCAGCCGGTGGTACCTGTGGGGCACAGGGACAGCCCTTGTTAGGAGGATGGGGCTGTGGGAGGACCTTTGTCCCCACCATGGTGCAGGTCATAAGAGGGTATCAAGAGCAAACGCAGCCCAGCTTGCAAAAGCAAAGCCACCGACCATGTGTGAGGAGGAGGAGGAAGGGCAGCACCTGTAGGAGGGCAGGAGGAAGATGGGTCTGCGGTAGACCTCCTCCGTCACCTGGATGTCCTCCTCGCACTGCACCCGCACGGTGTGGGGCTCATCCCGCAAGCGTTCAATGTCATTGTACACGTAGTAGACGCTCTCGCTCAGCTGCGCGAAGTCGTGGATCTAGCAGGGATGGGGACCACCATCAAAATAATCTCAGACAAGCCCTTCGCTCATCTTTGAGCTGGAGAGATGCATGCATCGCAGTATCACTGGGGTGATGACCCTACCCCCAACTCCCACCTTACCTCTTTGCGGATGGCCAGCTCCAGGCTCTCTGCCTGCAGCCCCCGCTGCAGGCACTGGAGGTTCTCGTGCAGGTTCTCCTTGCCCCGGGGGGTGTAGGACACAAAGTTCCCCTCCAACCGCAGGAAGATCACAGGCTCCCCACGGACGCAGAAGAAGACACACTCCTGCGGAGAGAGGGTGAGGCTGCCCAAATGCTTTCCTGGCCTTTTCCCACCCCGATTTCCACCCTCCCACCAACCTTGTGGCCCTCTCTCTGCAGCTTCTGCAGCACGAGCTTGAAGCCGTTGAGGCTGGGCTGTCCCATGCCGAACACAGCGTAACCTCCTTTGGCTTGTCGGAAATTGGGAGCGCCACAGCTGCCGGTAGTGTTCAAGACGTCTAATTTGCCATATACATCCCTGACCATGAAATATTTCCCCTGCAAAACAAGACAGGCAGAGAGAAGATTGGGAATAAGTGGATTTGAGCAAGTAGGCTTGAATGCAGCTGGGAAGAAAAGTAGCTTTTCTTGGTGATTTCCAAATTTAGCCCCCAAAAAACCCAAGGACCCAAGACTCCAGGCTGAAACGGATTGGGTACGGGGTGGTGATGCTCACCTGCACAAGGTAGTGTTCCAGCGTGGCCTCAGAAATGCGTCCCACCTTGTAGTTGGCCTTCAGGAGATCATCGTGGATCTGAAACTCCTCCCTGCAGTTGTACCTGCAAAAGCCATGTGCAGGGAGGTAAAGGAAAAATATGTATATAATGGTATAGGTAAAGATTTAAAAAATAAAAGAGCAATATTTAGGGAAGATGGTGCAGAAGAAGAGAGGTCTGGAGGCAGCAGCAAGGGGACACAAGAGGCTGCCAAGGACTCACGTGATGACCACAGGCGCCACTTTGTTGGTGATGATGGACTTGGCCTTGCTGTTGTGGAGCCCCAGGGTCTGGAAGGAGTGGATGCTGAGGGAGTGCTGGTCCTCCATGCTGCCGTCGCCCAGCGCCCTGCTCTCCAGCGGGGATGCCGAGACTGCCTGCTGCTGCGCTGCGCTGGCCGTCGTACCCATAATCCGCAGGCAGCTGTGCCAGGACAGGAGGCAGCAGCGACCGCAGGGAAAACAAGGAGGGAGGGAGAGAGAAGGAGGAGGAATTTGATTTTCTTTTTTTTCAGCCTCTCCCATTTTAGGAAGGGAAAATCCCGAGCGGGTGCAGGCCCCCCCCAACTGCTGACAGCCGGTGAGGAGAGGCCCATTTGGGAAGAAACGCTAACCCAGCTCTTTCCC